TTAATAAAAATCGGTTTTTATTCCTCTTTCTTTAATTTAATGCATTATATGTAATTAATAATAATAATAATAAAATAATTAAGAAGAAGATAAGAAATTGAAGAAAATAAAAAAATTTGAACTAAATTACTAATCATATTTATTATATTTTTATGTAAAAATAATATATATTATTTCTTCTTTTTTTAAAAATTTATATTTTTATAATTAAAATAAAAAAAAATAAAATAATGTTTAATTAATACTTGAGATAGTATTTTATTTTGTATATTAATGATTAATGATTAGAAGAGGGTTGAATTTAATAAGAAATCTATTTTAAATATATAACATTTTAATATATCTAAATAATATATTTTAAAATATATGTATTTAAAATATTTTTTTTAATTTAATTCAAACAATATATCTTAAAATATAAATATACATTTCCAAATTCAACCAGAGTGTATTTTCTCTTTTCAATGTCATCTGGAAAATGGGGTTTTGTGCTGCAGTAATCTATTATGGCTGAAATCTTTTTTACTGCCACCAATATATATATTTTGCATAGCTGAATTGAATTCTTGACCAAGTAATGAAACCTAGTCCTAGCCAAATACTACTACAAGACAGCTTCAAGTTCCAGAGTTTAAACTGAAGGATTCCCCAAACTAGACGACACTGTATTAGGCTTTAGGGGCACGATTGTGCATTCACTCTACGGTATCCTCTCAATTCTTTTTTTTATTTTATTAGAAAAACTTGAGATGATGAAAGAGTGAGTCTTTGGATTTGAATCCATGATTTTTATGTCTTAAATATTATTTTTTTAAGAGATAATCCTAACCGAATTAACATAGACTTCTCAGATTTTATTTCAGAAGGTGTTCATATCTTAATCTTCCCCTCACATCATCCTTCCCTTCTCTCTCATTATCTTCTCATGTCTCCCAGAACCCCATGCCGCCTTGCAAATCATTGTACAAGAACATTTATTAGCCTACCATCATTTTAGAGGTTGGAGTATGCATTCTCTTGTCCCACAGATTTTTCTCTCGTCCCCAAAGCATCATGTTTCTTTGTTGTGTTGTGTCATACGTACAATGAAAGGTTAACCTACAAACACCCAAGTCAAACCGTCAATCATAATAATATAGCTTTTGAAATTTTTTTATTACTTCATCAAATGCTTGTGTGATTTAACTAATTTTATTAACTTATTGTAATTTTTTTTAAAAAAGTATTATAATGTAATTTATTTTTAATAAATTATATTACTTTCAATTATAAGAAATAAATAAAACCTGATATTATGAGATTTTATTTTTCTTTATGATTATAAAAAAAGTGTAATTTAGCTTTAATATTTTATTTTTTAATTGTTAAATGTTAATTTTGATCCCTAAACTTAAGGTTTTATATAATTTATATTTTTTAATTTTTTTGTATTTTTTTGATCTTTTAATTATAAAAAAAATATTATTTTTTAATTTTTT